GTGCCTACCCGACAGTCTCGCGAATACATAAAAGAATTGTTTTGTCAGAAAAATAAAAGGCTGGAGTTACAAGGGAGAGTTTCAAAGTTCGGAGGAATACTATCCGATCGGTATATACCGGCTTGAGCATCAATGTCGACGTCTCCCACACTCCGAAAAGTTTCGAATTGTTGCCCAAAGACAAGGAAAGTCCAGTTGGTATTCGTTATTTTACGTCGCTTCTTCTTGTTTGTTCTGTGGGATGTTCGTTATCCGATCATGTGTTTGTTGTCCGAACATAAAAATCTTTCACGAAAGTGTTCGTTATCCGATCTGTTCGTTAACCGATCACCTACTGTATTTTGAGTCAATATTAAAATTTGGAAAAGGGGGATACCTAGATCGGTAAAAAAAAAATCGAATTTCATCCTACAACTTCGGTAGTTGTTTGGGGTACAGTTAAGGTTTTAACGAAGTTCAAGCGAATACATAATTAGCAAAAAAAAGTTGAAATAAAGTGATTAAACAAAAATTATTACAAATATCATAAATAACAGTTCACAAATGCATATATAGAAATATTTTTTGCAGGGGGGAAATGGTCTTCACAATTTAAAATTGATCAAACACACAGTGATATGCTCATATAAACGCATGCCATCTATCGTAGGATAAATGTACTATGCCAGAAACATTCATGGGAGTGTATTAAAAAACTTCCCAAAGTTTCATGGCAATCGTACTATGCCAGAAACCTTCACGGGAGTATATTAAACAACTTCCCAAAGTTTCATGGCAATCGGATAAATGGTGTGGTAATGCATGAAGGACATTCAGACAGACAGACAGACATACATTCGTTCATTTTTATATATATAGATTATGGAAAAAATAAAAAATGAATGAAACAAGTTGTTTCTGTTGTGAAATGAAATATTAATTTATAAAGCAAAGAAATTTTATGAATTGTGTTATGAATGTTTAAAGCGTAATGCATTTTATTAAAAACTGGAATCGATAAAGGTATCTCATACACTTTATTTCTGGTATGCATTTCGGTTCTCTTCAGCAATACATAAATAGATAGGTATTTACAATCAATTATGATTATGAAATTTAAAAAAATAAACCATTAACAGTAAAATTCCATTAAAAGTTTTCAACTGGCCTTGAAAATTTCTAATGGAATTTTAAATCTTATTGTTAATGGTTTTTTTTAATTTATAATTTTACATTGATTGTAGATAACTATCTATTCATATGTATCTTAAGAGGGTCTTAAAGACTAAAGTGCATACCAGAAATAAAGTTGCATTCTAGTCATAGAAGTGTAATTTTGATGCCCTTGGTAACAGTGTTATAAGTCTGATATCTCCACTTCACAGTGTATGAGATACCTTTATCAATATTAACTGAGACAAGAAGCTTTAATATAAAATCTATAATATTTGTGTTAATTAAATGAACTTATACCCTTATTAATTAGTTTAAGTACTAAATTTCTACAATTAATATTATTTAAAGTGTGATTGAAAAGTGGGCACAAGACCCTAGCAGAGGAATTGGTCCATTTCAGAAGAAGGTAATGGAGGATACAAATTTCATTGATCTTGATATACAGTTAGGTTATCCATATGTATATCTTCATCAAGGATACTGTGAACATTTAATTGTTTTTAAAGATATCAGGTAAACTGTGGTTTATAATAGCTATGAATAAATATAAAACTGAAACTATGGTACAAATTAAACTGTTTAATTTATTCTAACATGTATTTTAACACTATAGATTAATTCATCCAGATGATAGCCATTTAATAAATCATTATCCCATGTATGAAGAAACACATTCAAAAAAGTCACTTCACTGCATGATTTGTGAAAATCGAATAGTGAGGTAAGATTTCTAATAATAATAATTTTTTATTGAAATTAATTATTTTAAACATAACTAATTGACATTTTACATTTATAATATATATTTCATTCACATAAGAATGGAAACCAGAAAAATGAAACTGGTATTTACTTGAGATGTTTAAAATAAAAGATTAATATATCACAAAAATATTTATGTACAGTATGTCATTTGATAAATAATTCATAGATTTAAAATCCACTAATTTTAATAAGAAAACCAGTAATAAAATAATCCTTTATTTATATATTTTATATTAGCAAAATTATTTTATTATCAATTTAGCATTGAACGGAGATTGACAAATTTAAAAATAGATATTGAAAAATAATCCTGGTAGTGGAAATTGAACTATTAAACCATCCTTGTTTGCCATCTACTTTCTTGGTTTGTCTCTGTCTTTTAGGCTAGCACTGGCCAGCAATGGAAGATGGATTAAAATTGAATTTTGAAATTTAGTAACTCCAAATTGAAGGTCAAATATTTAATTTGAATAATTAAAAAGTTAACAAAGATAGCATACAAATTTTATCTTATTTAATTTCTTAATCTAGACCTATATGAGAAAAACAACAATAAATTTTGTATAAGTGAAAAGAAATAATAATGTAATTATAGCAGAACCAATTGTTTTGTTTAATGGGAAATATTCAATATAATTTTTTTACCTGATGTTCATAATTAATAGCCTTAAGACTTTTCATGATAGCTTGTAGGATCTTGCTAATATAAAAAAATATTTGATAGATTTTAAAACTTTTGCATAATTTATAAAAACCAATACTTTCTAAACATTCAAATGTGGTATCTTGAAATTGCCTCATAGGTCACAGGTTTGTCATCACTATTTTTGGCAATGGTTTTAACTAACTTCACATCATTTTATCTCAATACATGATAATCATTGACGATTATTGTGTTATGAGGAGTTTTTCAAACTCTTCACAAGACACATCAATTAAAAGCTTATTACTTCATAGAACACCACAATGAAATGTACATTTTCTTAATGTCTTGTCTCTATATTACCCTGAAAACAAAAAATGATGATGGAAACTGAAAAATTAACTAATTCTGTTAAATCAAAAATGTCTAAATTTAACTTCTATTTCAGCAAAGCTTTATACAATTATATAATGATACTAAGTAATTTATGGTAATTGCTGAAATTATTATTATTTCAAAATAGTGAAAGTTTTGGTTATTTAGCTGTTTGTCAATTATGAATAACTTTTTAATTTAACATGAAATTTTCTTTTGTAGTCATTTTTATAAATTTTGAAAATAAAATCTAAAAAATTTGCTTATGTTACTTACAAACACTGTTATTGATGAAATTGCAAGTGAAACATTGAGTAGAAAAAAATTATTTTCTTTCTGATTTTTGCCAAACTGAAAGTCTAAAGACCAGAAGTTACATAATTCAGTTTTTAGTTTTCTATGTCAGTTGTATTTTCAGGTGATGCAGCTTGGCCTTAAGCTGTTGTTTGAACTCAAAACTTACCTTTCTTTCAAAAATAAAAATTAAAAGACAAAATTATTTAAAGAAATTCAGATTTGAACTCTGAACAGCCATGGGATATAGATTTGTAAGCTGGAGTATAACCACTACACCAAGTTGCCAACCATGGCCAACCTTTTTTACAAATGTGTCTATAAATGGGCATGAATTTTTTGGCAGGTTATTGTCCTACCAACCCCTATATCTGGTTTAAATTAATAGTTAAAGATAAACTAAACAACATTAAAAGTAAACAAGGATAATAAAAACAATAAAATATGTTGTTAGATGGATGTAAAAACAAATATTAAATAAGCCACTATCATTAGTTTGAAAGTGACAAAATATTAAAATCATTTTTTATTGAAAGGAGAACAAAAAACTAGAAATTCTAATTAAAAAACATTGACCAGCTTTTAAATTTGGATTCTGAACTTGCTCTTCAGTTAACAGTTTCTCAATATTAGGATTGATTTTCGAGGTTGATAACAAAAGCAGATTGCCCACATGAGCATCTGTCAATACAGATCGGTATTTATTTTTAACAAATCTCATTGCTGAAAATGTCTGCTCACAAACATAGGTGTAACTGAATCTGCACACAAAATGCAGGGCTAGATCGTGCATTTTTTTGGTAGTCAATTTTAGGAACAAATTTCCAGAAGGCTTTCAAATCAAGCGAAGTCGGTGATTCACATCGCTCGAAATTTTCCTATAAATTCCAAGTGATTTTTAATGTCTACAATTTACAATTGGATTTTGGGTGGATATTTCCCTATTTCATTGTCCAAAAAGGAGAATGGATTGATGAACAGAGTGAGGTTATTCCTTTCAGCTTCGAAGTCTTTGAAACTGGAATCAAATGACTTGGTTAATACTGTAATGGCAGAATGATACCTATTAAAGTCCAAATCCAAATTATCACACTCATTTTGAAAACGTTTTAGAGTGGGAAAAGTGGTCAAGATTTTTCTGAGACAGTTTGCTTGAAAACAATTTTAGTTTCTCCTTGAATGAACTAATTAGGTTGAACATTGTTGGAAATAAACAATTTTCATTTTGTAAACAAGTATTAAATACATTAAGATAATTTGTGATGTCTCCCAGAAAAGCTAAATCACAGAGCCAGTTTTTGTTTTTTAGTAGGTTACACTCTGTGGATAACTAGCATTTCTGTTCCAAAAACTGAAGCACTTGATCTTTCAACTGGAAGAAATGTGCCAACTCCTCTCCTTTTGAAAGCAGTGAACAGAGCAATGCAGCAGGAGTTCTCTGTGTTTGTTGATTTTCTCTTCAAATAACACTCTAAACTCCCTGCAATTGATAGCTCACATCTGAATCTAATTTGCACAGTGTGTAACAGGATCAATGACATGGCTAAATTTCATCTCTTTAGCACAGAGTTTCCTAATGAATAATACAATGGTATTTAAAAAACTTATACTTCAAATACTTTTCAAGCAGAGAAATACAGCCATTCCTTTTTCCCACCATTGAAGGAGCTCCATCAATTCAAATACTCTCTAGTTTAATCCACTCAAATGTTTGTCCATTATTCTCAGCATTTTCAATGTATCCCTTCAGTGCTTCAAAAATGTCAGAACCTGCAGTTGTGGTTGAAAGCTGGCAGAAACCAGGAAGATCTTAAGTAACATAAAAATTTTCATCAACAGATTGAACATAAATGAGTAATTGTACATTATCAGTGATATCACAGCTTTCATCCATTGCAATTGAAAAGTATGGTACTTGGAAAGAGCAACAGCAACTTTAATTTGTTTTGATACATCATTTGCCATGTCTTCCACTCTTCTCTCTTCTGTATTATGGGAAAGGACAATGTTTTCACTTATCTTCTTCATTTGGATCATCGCTGTTTTCAGCAAAAGTATATAAGCTCTCTTTCACTATTTTGCCATCTGAGAAGGGTTTATTCTTCCACACAAGAAGTAGAGAAATTTCATATGAAGTCATATGAAGGAAGAAACATCATTTCTTCCTTCTTTTTGACAAAAAATTTTGCTGAGATGAAAGCTCTACCTTCTTCTTTGAAATATAATCTATTGTAAGAGAAGATTCAGCAGGATACTTACTGCTGAAGTCCTCATATGTCTGTTTGAAATGTCTTTCCAAATTATATATTTTTTGGTACTGCAACTGTAGCAGAACAATCAAACACAGGTTTTGATGACTTCCCTTGTGTGAAGAGAAATTGTTCTTCCCAATCATTATTGAAAGCCCATATCACCATGTCATTTTTACGCTTCCATTTAGATGTTCCAGCTTTAATGAGAGCCATTTGTAAGAACTTAATCTTAATTTAATCACACTTAGCGAAAAAATTACAAACTTAAAAAATAAAACACAATCACTGTCAAATCTCAACTGCTGGCAATTATATGTAAAGGTTAGCATGTGATAAGTCAACACAACATCAATACAGCTGACTCAATAGCATTGTTATCAGGTGATTCAGAGCATTTCTCTCAGTACAGCCAAGTATTGTTTCGCTCATGTGCATGATAAAACCGTGAGTTTGTGTAATTATAGGGAATAACTTTAAATAAGTTAATTTAATTTATTATTTAATCTTTAATTTAAATCAAGGAAGTTATTAAAATACTGTTTGCTTTCACACTTTATGCTAATGTTGATAAGTTCTCCATGTCATGTTTTTTAATTTTAAGGATTTTGTATTGTTCCTTTTCCTTCACTGATTTTTCTTTTTTGTGTTATCACCACATGGGCCATTCCAAACACAGCTGTGAGCCAAGAAGTGGCCAGCAGCCCTTGGGTTGGCCACTTGTGCACTACTCCATCCACCATTATGAATATGTTTGTGCTAGAGTTTATAAATCCAATAAATTAACATTGGTTCCTTTTTCTCAAAACTGCTTAAGATTGAGGATTTTTTACTTTTATGTATAGGTTTAATTTTACATAAACTTTTATTATAAACAAAATATTTAAAAGTCATATGTTTGATGTTGCAAGATTGGTATCAGATGAGTACCTTGTGCATTAACAAACAGTTACAAAATAACATGAAAAATTACTGTTTTTAGGAGACAGATGCACTGCTATACTTCCATTAACTATATGATCTAGAGTAGAAAATTTCTACTTTCTCAGAAATAGTAGTTTATAAAATGATTTGTCAGGTTTCCTGTTGATTGAATTCCTGAAATACTAGTACTCTGCTAACATCTGTTGAAAAGGTTTCAAGATACTATCCTCAAGACATGATTCTTTTTGATTACAATGCAATGTCAATCACACATGTTATGGTTAGTTCCATTGGGAAATATGGATGTATTCCATAAAAACACAGACACCCAGTAATTTTTATGTATTTTTCAACTTGAAGGAGTATTTGCCAAAATATTATTTTTTTTGCATTAAATAGATGCCAAATATGCTATCATAACATAAATACTACAAAGATATTTAAGATATGTATATATATATATATCTTAAATATCTTTGTGTATATATATATATATAGTGTGTGTCTGATACAGAGAAACTTAAAACAAGTGCTTGAACAATCAAGAAAATGAATGGAAAAATAATATTAATCTTCTTTGTTAATTATTGTTCATTATTAATTTTAATCTTTATGCATTATTAATTTTTGGACTTAAAATTAGGAACTTATTTTGATCAAAAAGTTGAGAATCAGGAATTAAATTCTTCTAAAAAGAATAAAATCACTTTAAGAGAATTTTGAGATTTATTTACAGTTTGTAAGAGGCATTATTTGGTTTAATTATAAGTGAAAAAAATCTTTATTATAAAAATGATTGATTGAGATATAGAAGGTTAAAATGTTTTATTTCAATAGAAATGTTTAAAATTTAAACATGTTCAATATCAACATTACATTTAAAATAGTTTTAGGCTGCTTTGATTACATTTTGCTATTGTTGACATTTAAAGCACTTATCAAATTTACAATAAAACTTTTCAAAAGTTGAATAATAGAGAAATTTATTTTTTTTAATCTTTTTTCTTTTTATTGTCAGTTGAGAAGTTGTTATATGCATTAATTCTTATAAAATGCAAAATTAATTAAATTAAAGAACTTACTATAAAATACATTTAACTAAAATCATGTCTTATTATTATAATTAATATTTTAAAATTACTAAATGCTTTATATTTAAAAATTGTGTATTACAGATGGATAACCTATAATAACACAAGACTCCCTTATGATCCTTTCTTTTTCTGCAATGCTTGTTTTCGTTCTTTCAACTATACTGTTGATGGGCAGAAAATTGGTGAATTTCAGGCCTATCCATATTATGATCGAACTGCTGTTGTGTGAAAACAGAAAAATGTAACCATTTTAATATAAGGATAATAGCTTTAGTTTAACGTAAGTTTTTTGTAAGTTAATAAAGTTTATATTTTTCTCAATCATTCATTATTAGTTTTATTCTACAAATGATGATGATGATAATGAACATATTCCTTTCAATTGTGTAATATGAAATAAATTGGTTATATCAAAAATGAGTTTAAATTAGTAATTTATTAGACTTTTTAACTGGAATGCAAATGCCCTATTTAATTGCATAATAAAATGATTATTGGTCTTTTCCAGTGGCGTGCCATCCATGGAAGCTGTGGAAGTGCAGCTTCCCTTGTATTTTCTAAAATATAAATACATACTGTGCAATTATTTTAATATACTTTGAATTACTTAAAATTAATATTATATTATAATCGCATTATGTATCTTATTACAAATTTCTATACTACATGTAAAAAACAATGATAAGATTTAAATATAAATTCACATATGCATATTCCCAATGGAAATGCTGTATTGTCAAATAAGGGATAGCTTCCACAGCAGAAATATTTGAATGGTGTAAAACAGCCAGATTATAAGCATTTGCACATGTATTTTACAGAGCACCAACCTCACATGGTTTAGCTCGTGGATGCTACACATCCAAAATATCATATAACGCTTCCAATGATTCTGTCCGGAGCTGGCACAGCTTCCCTATAATCAAATGTCACTGCACGCCACTGGTCTTTTCTAAATTTCTGTTGATTGAAAAATGAAAAGGTTTGTTTAATGTTCAGCAGATATAATTTTTTCTTTTATATCTAATGGAAATTGAGTCATCTCATCCTTAAGTCAGATGTTTTTTGCAGAAACCATTGTTAAACATTTTAGAATATTGAAGATGAACAAATCTCTGCACCATGCTGAAATCATTAAAAATAAAATATTTTTAATTAATATTCTTAATAGCTATTATTCCAAAGGACTTATCAGTCCAGTTTTTTAATTTGAAAGTTGACTAAGAGATTTTTTATAAAACAAATATGTATAGTACAGTATACAGGGTGAGTTTTTTATCTTAAGACAATGAAATAACTTAATTGGATCGAAAAAAGGTTAGACAAAAGTTATAGGGTTTCAAAAAGACAATCAGCTGGTGATCTTGGACTTGGACTTGGACTTGACCTTGACCTTGACCTTAAAGGTCATTTGAAAGTCAAGTCTGTTTTTTTCAAATGGGAATACATATTTTTGACCCCAGCAATGGAAAGAGTGGGAAATTTTACAATCAGCCATGACCTTGAGTACTCCAAATTTGATCTTTGAAGATCATCTCAAGCGTGATTATTTAAAGCGCTGCTGAACAAATGCATCAAAGTGGAAGGACATTATTTTGAACATTTGTTATAAAATTCTTCCCCAAAACCAATATCTCAAGAAACGGTGAGAAGTAAAGTGACTCTCCGAAAACAAGCACCCAGATAGTGAGAGGCAAGGGGACTCACAGAAAACAGCACCTCAAAGGGAGCAGAGAACTACTATGTTCACATCGTTACTCCTGTGTAGTGCTAAAAGTAGTGAATGCTTTAAAAGGTCAATGTAATAAGGTTGTGAAAAAATATAAATTTTACCTCCCTGTCTATTTTAGTAATAAAAAGTATGGCTTCCATTAGAAAAAGTTTATAATTTTAACCTTAAAATAATCTTGACCTTTGACCTAGACCTTAAGATCAAGGGCATATCCGATTGTGAAATTTCCCGTTCTTTCCATTGCTGGGGTAAAAAATATATTCATGTTGAAAAAACAGATGACCGTCAAATGATTCAAGGTCACCAATTGATTGCCCCTTCAAAATTCTACAACTTTTGTCTAAACCTTTTTCCAAAATAATGAGATCCATTTAAGTTACTTCATTTTCTCAAGATGAAAAACTCACCCTGTATATTAGTGTTACATATAGAGTTCTGAATGGTGAGACATTCCTGGCAACTCGTACCGAAGAAATTGAAGTGTCAAAAATCACACAGCAAAATGATGTAGACCATTTTTTGATTCACAAAACCTGTTTTACAAAGAATTCATACTGGAAAGGAGAAGAGTGAATGCAAACTTTTATAAAAATGTTTGGTATCATCTTCTGAAACTCATTTAGCATATGCATCCTTCTTGACATTTTTTTTGTTGCAAGATAATGCGTTTGCTTGTCAGAATGCTGCAAGCTTGCAAGCTTTCTTTGACACGAAAAAGAATCTCCATACTTGATCACCCATTATTCATCAGATTTTTCTCCTTTAGACTATTTTCTATTTTTCAAGTTGAAATTGAAGCTCAAATGACACAAATTTGCAGATGTTCCTGTGTCATTTGCTTGTGATTGATGAATTAAAGAAAATTAGAAAAGAATTTTCTACTGTTCTCCAAAAATTGTATTACTGCACTGAAGCCTACATATATGCCAATGGGTCATACTTTGAATAAAATTATATATTATTTGCATGTGTTTTTAACTTTTTATTTCCTGTCCTAAAATACAGGCATACCTCGACTTACGTCGTTTCGAGTTACGCCGTTCCCGATTATACGTCATTTGTCAAAAAAGTATATGGAAAAATAAAAGCCAAGTTTAAGTCATTTTATTCGACTTTACGTCTGTCCGCCACAAATATTGAAGTCATAATATCACTAGAAAAATGTTTAAAGTACATAAAATCATATTAAAATATATACGAGTATGTTCTGTATTTACAGTACATGCATTCGTAAATTTAGAATACTTTTTTCTGTACTATATTAAAAACTAAAATTTATTTGTTTGTAAGCTTAAAATAGATCCTTATTAACCATACATTATTAAAAATGCATTAATAAATAAAATACAGAACCGGGAATGGTAATTTATGGTTTAGCCTAGTGACAAGTAGATTTGGAGACAAGTAAATTCGACTTAAGTCGTTCTCCTGGAACCAATTACCGACGTAAGGCAAGGTATACCTGTATATGAATGACACTGTATTTAAAGAAATACAATAAATTTGTTAAAAAGATGTATATAAAACTGTAAGCAAAATGTTAGACATTTTCAAACTTACTTGAACAATCTGCTTTGATTGTTTCTTTCATATTAACTATAAAGCTAAGTTTCCAAATGCAATGATTTTTGATGCTAATTGACTGGTGTTGGTTTAATTGTTTATGGAAATATGCAAATTTAGAGCCACTTGATTGGTGCCAATAATCTTTGTGGTATGCATGGGTGTACTTTTTGATGCCATTAAATTGGCATGCTCCTGGTGCCAGTAATCATAGCTTGCTTACCTAGTTTATGTGATGAAACTGAATTAGTATTTGGTTAGATTTCTCTCAATATCTATATTAATTTTTAAATTTATATCATCAAATATAGCAGTTGTAATGAAATTTTAATGTGCTGTTATTTAATTGTAATCCATGATATTTATTTTGAAAATGTCACATCATCTTAAGTGATGCCATTAATTATTTATTGATGGAAAGTGTCTTGCAATGGGATGAACGTGTTTTATCCATTTCAATCGTTTATATTGCATATTAGAATTATTACTGTAGCTTAATTAATTAATCTTAACAACAGAAAAAAGATAAAAACACTATTGAAAAATTTTTAAGAATGTATACAATTAATCATGTTTATCCTTTTTAAAATTAGGCAATACATTGATGATATTGGATAGAGATGAAAGATATGTCTATACTTTTATCAAATTTTTATTTTGTATGAAATCTTAAAACAAAGTGTTTTTAAATAATCTTATCATTAAAATTTTTTTGTGAGATGGATTTTTTTCTTTTGAATACTTTAAATCATTTACCTAGTAAATACAGTTTGATTTTTCCTCCCTGTCACTCAAAATCAAATCTTTATTCAATAGTTTTATATATTAGATATAGTGTAAAATTGTTATTAAATTAACGAATTTTGAATAAATAAATAAATACATATATATTTATTTATTGTAACAGTAATAATAATAATAATTACAGTATTATTATTTTGCTTATTATTAAATATACTAATAAAATAGACACAGCTTAGACTAACACAGAGAATAGAGACTAAATAATTGTTATTAATATAAAATTTTGTCATTAATAATTCGTGTGATTTCCATTCTTTGTTAGCTCATCCTGTTTATTTATTAGTCTAAAATGTATTTAATTAAACAGGTCGTTAAAAAATTTGCTTAATTGAAAACGAGATGTACCTGGTTAGGATGCAGAGAGAAACTGTAATCATTTAGTTTGTGACTTTATCGCATAAATACAAAGAATTTCTGATGATAAAAATCAGCATAGCGATTTCAATACGTTGGAAACTAAAGTGTAGCACATATTCAAAGATAAGGCTCAAAACAAAATATTTTCAGATACATTGAAGCTTGTAAAGCAATCAAAATCACTCATCATTTTTTATATAGGTTAAATAACAATTATTCTATTTATGTCACATGTTATGGAGAAAGTAAACGTTTGGCACAATCATAATTTTAACGCTACAAACAGTCGAACAAAGATATTCCTGTGAACAAAATACCATATATGAATATATGATGAAAAGTATATTGTATTTAGAATTGTTAGGTCATCGTGATTAAATTAAATATGTAATGGGAAGCGCACGTTCTAATATGAATCTAAAAGCATTAGAGTTTAAGCATAATTTAGCTAGTTTTTACGTGACAAGAAATAATATATTAATTAAATGTTTTTGGAACAGAGTCATAGCTTTTTAAATAAATAACGACTTTGTTTTCAGAGTGTAGGAAATAAACACTGTCACGTGTAAATTTTAACAAAGTTCTGGCACACGAAATTTCAGGCAACTGAAAATAGTTCATTATTTTTTTAAATTTTGCTATTTCTCCAAAAATTATTGGACCTGTTTCAAAGAAAGAGTGATTTTTTGTCAACTATTTATTTATTTATTTATTTATTTTTATTCTTTTAGTTTGCGAAACAGTCAAATTCCTAATTTCGAAAATAGATGTTATTATTCGACACTCTTTATATTGAATATTCGCATTTGTTTAATTTTAAAGTACATAAAATCATTTAGTGCAGAATCAAATGCTTTTAAATGTACCAATTAACGTTATTTACAATTTTGTTAGCAAGTTTACTTACTAATTGTTATGAACTCTCTCTCTCTCTCTCTCTCTCGTGTTTACTGATTCGTGACTAAAAGGATTTGTTAGAATGTAAAATCTTCTATATTAATTGTTAGAATACGGTGGGTGATCGGTTAACGAACATAATCCATTCCAAGACTTTGTTCGCTAT